GTCGACCAAAAATACGGCTTGTGGAACATTTCCTCCCAGTGAACAAGTTGAAGCTCCTTTTCCCTATCCAAATTCTGCAGCCACTCCTCGACACTGCCTTTCGCCCTTGCCTCCACCATCCTCATCCCGGCATCATTGCACTTGATCGTCCAGTGCCCTTCTGGAGTCTTCAATAGTCGTCCTGTAATTATAGGAAAAGAAGAAAGCATTTCAGCGTTTGCCTCTCTTAGTTTCTTAGTAAGCTCCCCGGGTTTCCTCTCCACTGGAGATTGGTAATAGAGAACGATGTGAAGGTAATTGCGTTCCATAACGCGATCCAGAACTGATAGAGGGCAGAATTTTCCGGGCTGCACGGGCTTTGTGCTGATCACGGTTCGTTTACAGATGAACGAAACTTCGGCCATCGAAGAAAATCTTGAATGTTTTTAGTGAAATAAGTTAGGTCTGTGAAATCGATGAATGTACTATTTGTAGAGCTTGATTTATGGAAAAGGGGAAAACAGACCCATATTTGCTGGAGAACAAAATTTCATGACTATTTGACAGTTAGCAGAATTTATGATTATGAGCCAGTGTGATTAGTTAATTGGTGAAACCAGGAAACAAGAGAAAATGCTAAACTTGTTTAATTGTCAATATTAAGTGCTTCAGATCACTCCCTGGTGCAACGAGAAAGTGAAAAGAATGGAAATATATTATTGAAACACTCGTCGATTTAGATGAATAATGTGTAAAAATCTCCAGAAAAGCCAATATTCTTGGTGGCAGTCATCAATACACCGCATGACATCTCAGACACAGACGCGTGTCTAAGCATCCAATATGTGTTGAATAAAAGATACTCCGCTCTTGACACGTCTCTTAAATGTAAAATACATACGTGTCGATACTAACATTCCACTCTATACACATGCCTCTTTAATCAACATCCACACACCATGTATATACAAGTTCAGCAATTACATCTATCTCCATTATCAGCATTCAAGTTGGTTATACAAATTCAAATTTGTCATTGTGATATGATCCGGGATAGGCAATCACTTGGTCGAGTTTTGGAGTCCAAATTGAAGAAGTTGACAAGCCAAGATTTAAGTTTCGTGAAGGGCTCGGGAGCTGTAACGAGTTAGATTCAAGGTTTGGAAGATATTTGGAAAGAAAACGAACAGCATGGATGAAAACAGGCATAACTTTCAGTTCGGTTGTCGGATTTTCGCTTATGAGTACATTTCGGAAATGACACGAAATTATGCACAAGGTTACAAGAGCTCATGGTACTTTTGGGCTTGCGATTGCACATAAACATGTCGAAAACAATTTGGCGAGAATTTTAATTTGCCGCAAATTTCCTTATTTTGTTAGAA